CATTGCGAACGAGTCGGGGGTGATTTTCTTTTGAAATGCGACGAATATACCCGTCACAATTGCGTTCCGAGGAATTCGTTTTGTATGTTTACAAAGCTCGACAAAGCCCGTACAAACAAAGCATCGCAGATCCTTTGGCCCAGAGGTCACCCCGCGACTTAGCGCGTAGGAGAATCTCGGATCAACCCCTTCCGGGAACCTCCCCTCAGTCCTCACGAATACGCTCCCCACCCCACCTTTACTACAAATCTAACCTCAAGTGCCTGAAGCCAGAGCGTGGGCAACCCGCCATACTGTCCGGTGCTGCTTGGAACACCCAGAAGACTGTCTTGAAATCAGTTGAAGAAAGCCGTGGGCTTCTACCTTCACTTTAAGAGCGTTTGGGCGGTTCACGCCCGCGTACGGGGAACTATATAACAAGAAGTGGGGCCCGGCGAAGAGAAGGGACGGCGCTGGGCGGGACGGGCTTGATGCGCTCAGCGGGACGGCCGGACCCCCGCCTCCTCTCGCCCAAGTGGCCCTATGTCACACACATTTCAAGTCGAATGTCGGTGTCGCCACTGGCAGTGACGTTTGCCCCCTCCCCGCACCTCCTTCCCGATCCACCCTCCAAACCCCCGTCCGTCGCCGCCCCGTCCGCGCCAACCCCCGCTTGCTTTTTCGCGACTGGAGCGGTTCCCGCACGTCCTGCGGAGGGAGAGAGAGAGAGAGGAAGAGGTCGGGAAGCAACCGTGCGGAGTGGAAAGTGGGGGAGGCGGGGGCAGTTAGGGAGGGTCTCAGCCCGACCCACTTCCACTTTTTCGCTCTGTGTAGTTGCGCCGGGGTCGTCCGAGCGCAACGATATGACGCTGGCAGTACATCGAGCGCGATGCAGTCGATGGAGACGTATTGGCTGCGAGACGGAGGGCCGGGAGGGAGGGGGTCCTTCATCACATAAATGACACACGATGTTGCGCAGCAGGTCCCGCGTGACTTTCTTGTTTACATATGTTCGCTGCTGTACTTTTCGTCCGCGCTCGCGCTGATGTGTGTGAGCACGTAAGGCACGTGCACGGCCCTTGTGCACCGCACACCCCTGCTGGTCTTATCTGCTAATGGCCCGGACGTGCTCAGCTGTGTGTGTGTGTGTGTGTGTGTGTGTGTGTGTGTGTGTGTGTGAGTGCGTGCGTGCTCCGGTGCGGGCGTTACGTTACGTTGCGTTACGTGTGTGTTTGTAGCGTCTGGACGGTGGTGCCCCGGGTGGGGAGGGTTCACAGGCAGTGCGGCAGCGCGGCCGCACACGACCAGCTCAATGAACTGTGATGTTACGTACTGCAGAGCGTGCCCCGCCGGGCGCCGCTCCAAAGGGTGGGCCCCGACTGCGGGGCCCTACCCGGAGGAGGGAGAATCACGCACAAAACAAAACACCAGCACGGGGTGCAAAGGAGAAACCACGCTGATTTAGGAACGAAGTGAATACCCGGGTGTCCCACGGACCTATCGCTTCAGAGCACAATTTGTGTAATTGTGTACCGGATTGTCCGCATGCAGGCGACTAGTTCCTTCTTCGAAGCGACCGCGCGTAACGCCGTGGCACACTTCACGATACATCTACTTCTATCCTCCTATTTCACTTTTTCAATTGGAGCCTCGTTATAATAGAGTCAGTTGGAAGTTATCTGGCGTTCTCTCATTCTCACAGACAGAAAATGCAATTTGCACTAGCGTCTGGTGGAACCAGCCAGATTTGAGCTGACGGGGTAACGAGCGCAGCAGAGACTGGGGTCATGAGCGCGAGGGGTGGACGGGGAAGTGTGCTTGAGCGGTCAGTGTAGCGCCTCGCGACTCGCCGCGCCCCGCCCGGGCCGGACCCCCCGCACAGCTGGCGCCGCCGCCGCGCCTCGCCACGTCCTCTAAACTAAGAAATGAAGCCTGTCCGGGCCGCTGCCACCGACACCACCACCACCCCAACAGGCCAACTTCTCAAACTCGGCTCATTCGCGTTGAAAGAATGTTCCGAGCAGCCAAGCCGAGCCAGCCAGCCAGCTCGAGGGCCCTGCGGGATGAGGGCCCGGCAGATGAGGAGGAGGGAGCTGGTGGTGGGGGTGGCAGCGTCGCCAGGAGCAAGTTGGAAGAAAGGGCCCGTACTCGCTGCAGTGCGAGAGAGACGGGGTGTCGGGGCGGCGCGCGGCAAGGGGGGGGGGGCGTCATCCGCGTCTCGTGCATCTTCCCGGACATGAATTAGTTTAATGTGCCCACAGAAATGTTGTATTTTAGTTTCCGCCCTAAAATGTTAGTGGTTAAATTCCACAAAATCAAGTACGGTATAAAGAAACATAACGGTCGCCGCCAGCTGTACACCCATTCGCCCAATTCGTGTTTTTTGAGTGCTGCTAAAGCAGTCGTTATTGCATTCCTCTAATACCTGTAAACTTACCAGAGTACGTGGGGATTTTTGCAGACACGTAAATTTACAGTATTTTTCCCAAAAATACCTAAAATCTGTAATTTTACTGGTACTTTAATTTTATCGTATTATTTCGGTAAAACTAACGTGTTCTGTAAAATTAAATTTTATTTCCGTACAAGATCACACGAATTTTCGGTTAAATCACTAACCTTTTTTTACAGTGTGGATGCACATATAAATTCGTGGGAAGAGAGCATACGAACGTTCCACTTTGTAACGCCCAGTTGGACATTCATTAGCGGTCCAGTGCTCAGCACCGATTGTTTTAAAGTTTGCTCGTCGCGCTTTTCACCGGAAAAACAAATATGACACATATCACACCTATGACGCAATCTGTACAAACCACGTGGTCACATTCCTTTAATTTCATATCAAATCCAACCAATGGATTCTTCTAGAATTTTTTTCTGTTCTTTCTCTTCTTTTAGAAAACTTCAATGGGTGAAACCCTACCCTCCATGTTCCCCAAAAATTCCCCAACCCGAACCCCAACCAACCGCACACCTTCCAATGCTAAGCTTCCCCCATTCCCTCCCCACTCTCGCTCTTTCTAAGTCTCTCTCTCTCTCTCTCTCTCTCTCTCTCTCTCTC